TAAAAGGCTTATTCTTGTGCAGCTTCTCATTGTCACACCATTTGGAGACATTCAAGATTCTAATTTTCAGCTTTGCTGATGTTCATATTTGGGGTCACAGCTGGCCTCATGCCATTTCTGATGTGTATCCACAATAGAAAAATAAAAGAAGATATATCACTTGATAGCAGTTTGCCTTTCATAAAATTATAGCACAGATTTTTTAAAAAATGTAAAGCTCTCAAATCACTTCTTAAAATTGTTATGTGTCTTAACAGCTAGAGTGAATGAAAAAGTAACTAAGTATTCCCTGAAGCTTTCTAAAATTAATTTGAAGTTTGATTTTTAAAAAAAATTTGTAATATTTTTCTGAATATTCCAGTTAATTTAGTTAGATCTAGATATCCATTCTTATTTCATGGGATAATAACAAAAAGACATTAGGACAGAAATATGATTTTAGTTCTATAAGACATGTATTATATTTACACCTGGCATCAGAATTATCTAAGACAGTCAAAGTCACTCATATTATTTTGCATGAAAGTTGAGCTCTTCTATCTTGTTTCTGAAAGAGGAGAGAGAAGAGATGAGAGAAAACTTAAATGAGAATCAAGTCAGAGGAAAAACTGAATTGAAGAAAACAAAGATAATTCTACAGTAAAATTGCAAAGAAATTTTTAAGTTTAAGTGATGAAATGTTTCATTTGAAGTGGCTCCTGTTGCTTCTTAGTCATCAAATCTACCTGGTGATTATTGTTAATTGATATCCATGAAAGGCTTGACTTGTCTATTTGAGTGAATGCAGCATCTCCTGATAAGATGATCCTAATTCTGAAAATAGCTGGAAGGCCTTTACTGACATCTTGCTTGCTTACATACATATTATATGCAAGTATACATATTATTAAGAGCTATGTGTTTTACATGCCTTACTTAATCTTCATAATAATTTTAAGATACTGTTTTGAAAATATATATAGTAAAATATAATGAAATCAAATTCAGATATATCTGATTTCAAAGTCTACAATTCCAAAATTCTATGATATCACTAAAGTTTCCTATAGTAACATAAATTAATAGTAATAATAGGAAGGACTTTTTATAAGGGTTTTATACTTACTCTCTGCCATCACTAATTTAAGAACATTTAACTCAGTCTCAAGAACCACAACATATTATTAATACTTTCGTTTAACACAAAGCACAGAAAGGTTAAGTAACTAGCCCAAGGTCACAGTGCTAGTAAGTGAAGGACCTAGGATTCCAATGTAGAAGTCTTTATCTTGTGCTTCAAAGTATTTCCTGCATGTCACAGAGAGTACTTGCAAGTTATATGCCATGTAAAAATATCTGTTATTTAAACATCAAATCACGGTTTCAGGCTTTGAGCTGCAGTCTAACTCTGAAGTCAGTGCTTTTTCTACTAAATTAGTGGATCTCAGCTGAACTCTGTGGTACACGCCTGTAGTCAGCTACTGGAGAGGCTGAGGATTGCTTAAGGCCAGGAGTTTGAGATCGTGGTGTGCTATGATTACGTCTGTGCATAACCATTGCGCTCCAACCTGGAAACGTGGTGAGAAACAGTCTCAGGAAGGGTGGAGGGAAGGAAGAAAGAAGGAAAGAAGGAAGGAGGGGAAGAAAGAAGGGAGAGAGGGAGGGAAGGAAGAGACAGAGGGAGGGAGAGAGAAAAGAGAAAAAAAGAGAAAAGAAATAAAAGAGAGGTTACTATCGTCCTTCATTGTGGTAAAAGATAACCACTTTAACAGGAAAATGTATGGAAAGGCATTCTGCTCTTCCTATTTGTCTTATGTTATTACACACTGGTATTCATTTTTGTTTAGTTTTCTGGGTACATGGTGGCTGTATATATGTATTAAGTACATGAGATTTTTTGATACAAGCATACAATGCATAATAATCACATCGGGGTAAATGGGATATCCATCACCACAAGTATTTATTCTTTGTGTTACAAACAATCATACTCTTTTAGTTGTTTTTGATGTACAATAAATTAATGTCGACGGCAATCACCTTGTTGTGCTATGAAATAATAGACATTACTCATTCTTTCTAACTATATTTTTCTACCTATTAACCATCGCCACTCCCTCACCCTTGCCAGGATGGGTTTCCCTGCCCAGCCTCAGTTAACCATTACTCTACTCTCTACCTCCATTCTTTCCATTGTTTTAATTTTAAGCTCCCACAGGTAAGTAGAACATGAGATGTTTGTCTTTCCGTGCCTGGCTTATTTCACTTACCCTAATGACCTCCAGCTCTATCTATGTTGTTGCAAATGACAAGACTTGATTCTTTATTTCTGAACAGTACCACATTGTCTGTAGGTACCACGTTTTCTTCATCAATTCATCTGCTGGTGGGCACTTAGGTTGCTTCTAAATCTTGACTATGAGTGAAGAGCACTGCAATAATTATGGAAGTCCAGATATCTCTTCGATCTACTGATGTTCTTTCTTTTGGGTCTACACCTAGGATTGGGAATGCTGGATTGAATGGTAACTCTATTTTCAGTTTTGTGAGAAATCTCCAAACTATTCTCTATAGTAGTTGTACTAATTTCCATTCCCATTAACAATGTACAAGGTTCCCTTTTCTCCACTTCCTTGCTAGCATTTGTTATCGCCTGACTTTTGGATAAAAGCCATTTTAACTGGGTGAAATGGTATCTTATTGTAGTTTTGATGTGCGTTTTTCTGATAGCAATGTTATAGAGCACCTTTTAATATGTCTGCCATTTGTGTGTCTTCTTTTGAGAAATGTCTATGTAGATATTTTGCACATATTTTACTGGATTCTTAGACATTTCCCAAAGAGTTATTTCAGTCCTTTATATCTTCTGGTTATTAATCCCTTGTCTGTTGGGTAGTTTGCAAATTTTCTTCCGTTCTGTGGGTTATCGCTGCACTTAACTATTTTCTTTGCTATTCAGACGCCTTTAACTTCGTATAACCCTACTTGTCCATTTTTGCTTTAGTTGCCTTTCTTGTAGGGCATTACTGAAGAAATCGTGACACAGTCCAAAGTCCTGGAAAGTTTTCTCAAATTTTTTTTAGTAGTTCTATTGTTTGAGGTCTTAGATTTAAGACTTTATTTAGATATGATTTTTGTACACAGTGAGAGATAAGAGTATATTTTCATTCCTCTGCATGGATATCTGGTTTTCCAAGCACTATTTATTTATTTATTTAAATAGGTTTTGGGGGAACAGGTGGTGACTGGTTGCATGGATAGTTTTTTAGTGGTGATTTCTGAGATTTTGGTGCACCCATCACCTGATCAATGTACACTGTACCCAATGTACAGTGTATCCCTCATCTACCTCCCATCCTTCCCCCCAGGTCCCCAAGACCCATTATATCATTCCTGTGCCTTTACATTCTCGTAGAAGAGCTCCCACTTATAAGTGAGAACATATGATGTTTGATTTTACATTCCTGAGTTACTTCACTTCGAATAATGTTCTCCAATTCCATCCAGGTTGCTGTGAATGCCACTATTTCATTCCTTTTCATGGCTGAGTAGTATTCCATGGTGTGTAAGTATCTGTATATACATATGCCATTTTTTAAATCCACTCATTGATTAATGGGCACTTGGGCTGGTTCCATATTTTTGCAATTGCAAATTGTGCTGCTATAAACATGTGTGCACAAAGTGTCCTTTTCACATAATGGCTTTTTTTCCTCTGCATAGATATTCAGTAATGGGATTGCTGGATCAGATGGTAGATCTATGTTTAGTTTTTTAAGGAATCTTCACACGGTTTTTCCTGGTGGTTATCCTAGTTTACATTCTCACCAGCAGTGTAAAAGTGTTCCCTTTTCACCACAACCACACCAATCTATTTTATTATTATTATTTTTTAATGACTATTCTTGCAGGAGTATGGTGGGTATCACATTGTGGTTCTGATTTGCATTTCCCTGATTATTAGCAATGTTGAACACTTGTTTTCTATATGTGTTGGCTATTTGTATATCTTCTTTAGATAATTGTCTATTCATGTCCTTAACCCACTTTTTGATGGGATTTTTTTTTCCTTTCTTTCTTTTGTTGTTGTTGTTGATTTGTTTGAGTTTCTTGTAGATTCCAAATACCAGTCCTTTGTTGAATGCATAGTTTAAAAATATTTTCTCCCACTCTGTGGGTTGTCTGTTTACTGTGCTTATTATTTCTTTTGCTGTGCAGAAGCTTTATAGTTTAGTTAAGTCACATCTATTTATCTTGGTTTTTGTTGCATTTGCTTTTGGGTTCTTGGTCATGAAGTCTTTGCCTTAGCCAATGTCTAGAAGGGTTTTTCTGATGTTATCATCTAGTGCTTTTATGGTCTCAGGCCTTAGATTTAAGTCTTTCATTCAGCTTGAGTTGGTTTTTGTATGAGGTGAGAAATAAGGATCCAGTTTCCTTCTTCTACATGTGGCTTGCCAATTTTCCCAGCACCATTTGTTGAATAGGGTGTTCTTTCCTCACTTTATATTTTTGTTTTCTTTGTGAAAGATCAGTTGGCTGTAAGTATTTGGCTTTATTTCTGGGTTTTCTGTTATGTTTCATTGGTCTATGTGCCCATGTTTATGCCAGTACCATGACATTTTAGTGACTATTTTCCTTACAGTTTAGTTTGAAGTCATGTAATGTATTTGTTCTTTCTGCTTAGTGTTGCTTTGGCTATGTGGGCTCTATTTTGGTTCTATATGAATTTTAGGATTGTTTTTTCTTATTATTGACCTTTGAAAGTTTGATTATTAAATGTCTTAAATAGTCTTGTTTGGTTTAAATCTGCTTGGTGTTCAATAATATTCTTGTACTTGAACACTGATATATTCCTCTAGGTTTGGGAAATTCTCTGTTATCTTTTTGAATGTTTTCTACCCCTAGCTCTCTCTCCACCTCCTTGTCAAAGCCAAAAACTTTAGATATGCCCTTTTTAGGCTATTTTTAAGATCTTGTAGGTATGCCTCAGTCTTCTTTTTTTGTCTCTTCTGCCTATGTACACAAATAGCCTCTCTTCAAGCTCACTCATTCTTTATTCTGCTTGATCAATTCTGCTGTTAAGAGATTCTGATGCATTCTTCAGCATGTCAACTGCATTTTTAAACACTAGAATGTCTGCTTTATTTTTTTATTTTAATCATTTGTTAAATTTATCTGATAGTATTCTGAATTTTCCCTGTGTTATCATGAATTTCTTTGAATTTCCTTAAAACAGGTATTTTGAATTCTCTTCTGAAAGGTCACATATATCTGTTTCCCCAGGATTGGTCCCTGGTGCCTTATTTAGTTTGGTGAACTCATGTTTTCCTGGATGCTCTTGATGCTTGCAGATGTTCTTTGGTGCCTGGGCATTGAAGAGTTATTTACTATAGCCCTTGCATTATGGACCTGTGTGTATCTGTTGTTTTGGAAGGTAATCACTGCAGCATTATGTGCATTCGGGGGAACCTCAATCCCAGTAACACTGTGGCTTTCGCAGATTCAGAGAAGTAGTGCCTTGGTGGTCTGGAAATATTCTCTGGATTGCCAGACAGAGGCTCTAGTTCTCTTCCCTTACATTCTCCCAAGCAATCGGAATGTCCTTCTGTGCTGAGCTAACCGGAGCTAGGAGAGGGGTCACACGCACAACACTCCTGTGGTCACCACCGTTGGAAATATGCTGAACTGAACCTGAAACCAGTATAGCACTGGATGTCGTTCAAGTTCCATGTTGGCTATTATGCATGTTTACTCAAGGCCTGGCTTGAGTTCTACAATCTGCATGTGGTAAAGGCAGCCAGGCTTGTGTCCTTCCCTTCAGGGTAGTGAGTTCTCTCCAGCCCTGGGCAGGTCCAGATGCCATCTGGGAGCTAGGGCCCAGAGTCAGAAATCCTAGGAATCTATCTTGTCCTCTTGTACTGTGGTTGAACTGGCACCTGATTCACAAGAAAAAGCCCTTCCTGCCCTATCTTCTCCTTTCCAGAAGCAGAGGAATCTCTCCTCTTGGCCTCCACTGCTTCAGTCTTACGGCAGTGGGCTCTCCTCTGGCCCAGGGCCACACTGGTATTCTTTACCATCATCAACTCACCTTCCCTTAGAAGTAAGTAACTTAATTATGTCTGCTGACTAAAAGGCTCATTGTCAGAACATTTGGTGGACTATTAAGACGCATAAACAGCATCCTGACATTTAAGGAATTCTCTAAGGGATTGAGATGACAAATCACCTGTGAAAGGGAAGGTAGCACATGACAATGGTAAAGACAGAGAAGGCGCTTAAAAAGGGAGAAAAGTAGAGAGCAGTGTGTGGATGCCCTGATCACAGCCAACATCAAAGGCCAGTGGAGAGCAGTGTGGATGCCCTGATCACCGCCGATGTCAAAGGACAGTAGAGAGCAGTGTGTAGATGCCCTGATCATAGCCGATGACAAAGGCCAGTGGAGAGCAGTGTGTGGATGCCCTGATCACCGCCGATGTCAAAGGCCAGTGGAGAGCAGTGTGGATGCCCTGATCACCGCCAATGTCAAAGGCCAGTGGAGAGCAGTGTGTGGATGCCCTGATCACAGCCGACGACAAAGGCCAATGGAGAGCAGTGTGTGGATGCCCTGATCACCGCCGACGACAAAGGCCAGTGGAGAGCAGTGTGTGGATGCCCTGATCACAGCCGACGACAAAGGCCAGTGGAGAGCAGTGTGTGGATGCCCTGATCACAGCCGACGACAAAGGCCAGTGGAGAGCAGTGTGTGGATGCCCTGATCACAACCGACGACAAAGGCCAGTGGAGAGCAGTGTGTGGATGCCCTGATCACAGCCGACGACAAAGGCCAGTGGAGAGCAGTGTGTGGATGCCCTGATCACAGCCGATGACAAAGGCCAGTGCTCTGTCCGGTGTCACAGGCCAAGGCTTTGTGACAAGTTTCTAAACTCTCAAAGACATGTATTTTAATTTTCTCCAGATTCAGTCCTCCACTTTATGTGCTTTTAATGCAAAATGTGACTTAAAACACTAAGTGGAAAGTAAACATCACCCTGCCACGTCTTAAGACCTTTTTCTGTGATAGAGAGAGCAAGTGGCACATTTCCTCGTGTGTCTCCTCACACGTCTCCAAATCGAGGCCTTTGAGGGCATCCAGCATATATATTCCTCTTCAAAGAAGATTTAGTCATTACCCTGTGGGTTTGATTATTAGATTGATTTTGCAAATGTTGATGTTTGTTAATTAATTTTTAAAAAGTATTTCTACATAGCTTTAGAGCTGAGAAAATTCGTTTTGCTAAGTGTCACCTGAGAATGGGACTAGAGATGCCAGATTTTAACATCTCAGTACTGTAATTGTTTTTTCCCAAATGTAAATATTATAGCAAAAAAACCCCAAAATTTGCTTTGTATGTTTCTTTTTAGAACCACTAAACTTAAATAATTTAAAGAAAACATAAATTTAGGCAGTGTTCATTCATCAGATACCAAATATCTGAATGAATATTTGAATTTAATTTGTGATTTTACAATAATAATATTGCTATATATCTCTGTTCAAAGGCACTGACAATGTATCCACCTCCTGCATATCATTATCCCTTCTTTTGCAGATGAAGAAAGCTGTGGCCCAATTAGGTAATTAACCGGTTCAATTTTATGTGGCAGAATCACTGCTCATAAGAAATCAGCTCACTACATCATAAGAATGTAACATCAGGCACTCTGTATTTAATATAAAGGGACACAGGTATTTATATGTATGAAAAATCTATTGTAAAATCTGTTATCAGTTTGCTCCTTCTTCTCACTAAGAATGTAGATTAAAAAGCAAAACAGAAATATGGCAAGTCTCCCCATGTCTGTACAAGATTCTTCTTGAATCATTTCTTTCATTTAGAACTTCTAATATGACGCCTAAAACTGTTAACCATAATATCTCCTTATCTGCCACACCCACCACCAACATTGAACTCTTTGCTAAGATTATGTTTTTCTTGTGTCAGAGACTTATAACTAAAATTTCCAGTTTTTCTCTTTTATACATATGAAGAATTTACTCAAAAGTCTTTACTCATAGACTTTTATAAACCTTTCTTTCAATAAGCACATTTAATACTGATGTAATGAATTGATTTCTGATTTGTTCTTAACATATGGTGCTGTCTCCATTCTTTGTGTTTTAACCAGGATCTCTTTATTTGATCCTTTGAATTCTCCCTGATCCAACCCTCTATCTATTCACAGTGATAAGAATGTGCCTAATTCCAAACATTGGAAAATTAGGATTAAAATAGAATTACCCAACTTATTTATAACCAGAACAGTTTTTGCTCCACAAAATACGTCTTAAAGAGACATAATACCATATCCTTGAAATTTCAGATTCTGTATCACGAGTTGTACATTTTCTTAAATGTAACAAAATTTTGCCATTATGTGTTTATTCTACTTTCATGATCAATAACCTCCAGCATATTCCTCATGAACTTCTATATTTTCCACTGAGGACCTAGCATTGTGTTCATCCATTCATTTGGTCATGCATTTGACAATTATGAGTGATTCGAATCATTCAACAATAGCACATTGTATTCGTCCTGTGCATCAAATATTATCAAAACATTGGGAATAAGATGGTAAATGATATGCCACCCTTGCCCTCAAGAAACTGATCAGGACTAGTGATGACAGTGAAGTCAACTGATGATTCCATTTGTGTGTGTGTCTTCTGCTCTGTGCAATACAATGCTTTTTGGGAAGTGCTTCCTAACTATCAGAAGTCACCGATGACTTCATAGAGGAAGGGAATTATAAATGAAGGCAATGACCATAGACCTTGGAGCCACAGAGACATAAGTTTGAGTTTCAACTAACTGAATCTCTAATCTTAGAACTGTGTGAGCTTCCTCATCTGTGAACAGTTGTTGATATAACCTATTTTAAGAGACTGCTGCTTACGTCTTGGGAACACACTCTTGTTCTCTCCACCTGGCTCTGTCTTTACACCCTTGCTGGTCTTCTCTGTGAGATCACTCTTACTGTGGAAAGCAAGCTGCCATGGGGGAAGTAAGAGTTCACGTGGAGAACCCCAAATGACAATGCGAGACTATGAGATCTTCCACCCAAGAGTCTGTGAGGAGTGGAATCCTTCTGAAAGTGACACAAGTAAGCCTGAAAGCAGATTTTTTTCATCCCACTTAAGTCTGGAGACAACTGCAGTCCTGGATGACAGCTTAACTGCAATATCTTGACAGACCTTGAGCCAGAAGCCCACAATTCAGGTAAATCTTGATGTGTCACCCACAGAAATTGTAAGACACTAAATAAATATTTGTTGCTTTAAGCCTTTCAATTCAGGGTAATTTATTATGCAGCAATATGCAAGTGACTCACAATGTTTGTAAAAGAAAGATGTTAAGAAATGCCTAAGCATTTGTGTCAATATTGCCATATAGTGAGTCAGGGTACACTGAGGACAAACCAGGTTTGGAATAGACATAAAAACATTGGTAAGGACCATGGCGAGCATAAATGTTAGTTAACTATCCCAGGGAAATGTCAGGTATAGTTGCTTATATGAATCTGAAAATTGTGGAAGACATTATGGATAAGGTACAAATCCAAGGGCTATCAGCTGACCTTTAACTTCACAGACTTACTTGATATCACCTAGAAAGTGAAAGCCAATTGAGATGAGAGAACATCACACAAAAAGCCTAGGAGGGGAGAGGAAAAAAGAGGTAAGTGGAATGACATGCCAGCCAAATGAAGGAACTGTTTGAAGAAAAGAGTGTGATCCACAGGGTCAAATACTGGCTTTGAAGTGACTTGAGATAAGCACAGAGAATTAGCCATTGGATTTGCCATTGTTGAGCCTATTCGTGCCTCTTATCAGAGTTTGCTCAGTGTAGTGGTAGAAACCACTGTCCCAGAGGAAATGTGGGTGAGAAAGTGGAGGTCGTCTATATTGATTACTCTTCAGATAAGGTTGGCATGAGGATGTGAGCAGAGGAATAAAGCAGTAGTGATGGGGCGTGCATCCATTTTCACAGAAAAAATAAAGAACATATAGGCATGAAAGCAGAGAAAGATTCTGCTGAAGGGGGTGAAGAAGTTATCTTCTAATTGCTTTTGTT